CCCTCCTTGCTTCTCCTTTACACTTTTTCACTCCCAGTACTGTGCGTGCACGTGTGATTGTCTGGTCACACCGTCTATCTGTAGCTTGTTTGAAGTTTCATGGCGCTTGCGCGCATGTACAATTGTTGGGTATCTGCCATTAGGTTGCTCGACAGCTATGGACAAATACACCCCCTTTTTACCTTTATTCGTTGCCTTTAATGAAGTTTGTCCGCTCATTGTTCACGCGGTCAGGGTCGTGCTCGAGTCGTAGAGGCAAATAAAGTTGTAATAGCATCCAATAATTGACTAGATAATACAATTACTTGAGCTTTTTAACCAACTCGGGGACCGCTTCGTATAGATCTGCGACCAATCCTGCATCTGCTACTTGGAAAATTGGTGCGTCGGGGTCCTACAGATTCGTCAGTACGTCGGGAAGTTCAGAAAACTAGATAGCTTACCTTGTTGATCGCGACGATCATCTTGCTGTCCTTCATTCCTGCAAGATGTTGAATGGCTCCACTAATACCAACGGCAATGTACAACTCTGGTGCTACGATCTTTCCTGTCTGTCCAACCTGCAAGCTATTGTCGGCATAACCAGCATCCACCGCAGCCCTACTAGCTCCCACAGCAGCACCTAAAACCTCAGCGAGAGGCTCAAGTGTCTCTTGGAATGTCTCCTTGTTCTTCAAGGCTCTTCCTCCAGATACAACCTTCTTGGCCACTCCCAAGTCGGGTCTATCAGAAGTGGAGACAGAGGTTTCCAAATGCTTGGTGAGGTCTCCGTTTTCCTCAATGGCCTTGAACTCTTGGACAGCAACGTCGCCCTCCGCCTCCCCAGTAAGAGGAGAGAAGGAGGTAGCGCGTACAGTGACAACTTTGACAGGTACATCACTCCCAGCTTTTACGGTCGCAATTGCGTTACCGGCGTAGATGGGTCTCGTGAATGTTGTCGAGTCGTCTGCGTCATCGTGCTTGAGCGAGGTGATGTCCGAGATAGCTGGGACATCCAAAACTGCCGCGACACGAGGTAAGACAGATTTTGCCGCTGATGAGTGGGCAGAAAAGAAGTGTGTGTATTTGGTGTCCCCGGAAAGGATCGATTTGAAAAGTGGTGTGAGTGTTTCTGGAAGTGGTGGACTATAAAGGTTGGAAGAAGAGTGTAAAACAGAGTTAATCCCTCGTAACCTGCGAGTATAATATCAGTAAAAGTTACATTTCAGAGCTGGAAGAACAGTTGGAGAAAGTTCGAGACCAGACACCTACTTCTTGACTGTAGGCAGCACTTTCTCAACCTCTTCTTTATTGCCTACAACTACTCCAGTTATTTTTCCATCACTTGAGCCAAGTTGTGAGGCAGCTGCGAGTGCGGACAAGGATGCCGGTTCTACCACGCCATTTGAATGTTCAAGAAACACGAGCGCATGTGTCGATGCATCTCGACGCGTATTTTGAAGCGCATAAAGTCTTGCTTGGCGGGTTGAGGCGCAGATAGAAGGCCTTAGTCTTAAAAGTGTCGACATGGCTGGGTTTGAGCTTGTGATGTCCCGATGTATTTGGGTGCAGATCCGAAGCGAGAGCTAACATGACACCAAATTTTCAAAGTCGCAATCAGGTACTACAGCTCGTGAAAACTCCATTTATTCACTCCAATAGAAAACAATTGATATCATTCGCCGTCTTTATCCCCTCCACGAGGAAAGATATGGACGACAGTCTAACGCACTATCATGCTGTCACGAGCTGGACCCACACCAATCCATTTAATGTCGACTTCAAGATATTTCTCAATAAATTCCACATATTTCCTGCAGTTCTCCGGCAGTTCCGAATAGGTCGTTATCTTGGAAATCTCGGACTTCCAACCAGGGAGTGTGACGTATTCCACCTCGACTTGAGACAGTAGTTCCAAGTTGGCTACAACCTCAGTAGTGAGTTAATCATCCATGACCACTTTGAGAGTTACGTACCAGGGAATCCTTCTAGCTCTGTTTCGCCAAGTTTGTACTTCACCGCGACCTTGATCTCGTCTAGTCCATCCAGAACGTCGAGTTTGGTAAGGTTGAGTAGGTCGTATCCGTTTACATTCGCCGAATACTTGAGAACAACTAGATCAAGCCAACCGCATCTACGACGCCGGCCAGTCGTAGTACCATATTCATGGCCGACCTCCTGAAGCGTGTTTCCAATTTCCTTTTCCAGATCTATAAGCCATAGAGATCAGGAGCTAGGAAGTTGACTCACGTTGAGCTGTTCAGTTGGGAATGGGCCACCTCCCACTCGAGTAGTGTACGCTTTGACCACACCAATGATGTTTCCAATCTGCTTGGGCGGTATGGCAAGGCCAGTACATACGCCTCCAATTGCAGTGCTTGACGAAGTGACGAATGGATACGTGCCATAGTCAATATCCAGCATCAACGCATTCGCACCCTCCACAAGGATTCGCTTGTTCTCCTTGATTGCCTTGTGAATGTACGAGACTGAATCGACTACGAATGGTTTAAGACGGTCGGCGAGCTCCTGATATTGGATGAGAAAATGAGCAATGGACGAAACGGTAGTAATACCTTGTAACGCTTGATTTCGCCTTCGGTGTCATACTCGAAATAGCCGTATCGCTTGAACCTTCCTTCCACCAACTTTCTGAATTTCTCTGCAAAGCTTTCGTCAAAGAGGTGGTGTACTCTGAGACCCGAGCGAGAGGCCTTCGAAGAGTAGGCCGGGCCGATTCCCTTTTTAGTCGTGCCTATCCTGC